CCATGGGCTGCAGAATGGATATTGTGTTAGCAGGCATGTAAACAACATTAATCTCCTTGTACATCTCCATCGGATCTCTTGGGTGACAAGGTGCATTATTAATGAACAGTAATACTTTGAAAGGAATCTTTTTTGAGCAGTAGGTCTCAACAGTGAGCTTAAAATATTCAGTAAATCATGCAGTAAGCAGATGTGCTGCCATCTAGGCTTTGTTGTTCCATTTACAGAGCACAGGTAGAGTAAAATCAGCATCATTCCTAACAGCCCTAGAATTTTCAGAATGGTAAATGAGCATTGGCTTCAACCTAAAGTCAGTAGCTGCATTAGCCCCTCCCAAGAGGGTCATCCTGTTCTTTGAGGCTTTGAAGCCAGGCATTGACTACTCTCTAGCTCAAGAAAGTCCTAACTAGCATCTTCTTCCAATATAAAGCTATTTTGTTTAAAATCTGCTGTTTAGCACAGCCACCACCTTCACCAGTGATCTCAACTAAGTCTTCTGGATAACTTGCTGCAGCTTCTCCATCAGCACTTGCTGCTTCATCTTGGACTTTTATGTTATGGAGATGGCTTCTTTCCTTCAACCTCATGAACCAACCTCTGTTAGATTCCAACTTTTCTTCTACAGCTTCCTCATCTCTCTCAGCCTTCATAGAATTAAAGAGAGCTAGGGCCTTGCTCCAGATTAGGCATTGGTGTAAGGGAATGTTGTGGCTGCTTTGGTCTTCAATACAGACCACTCATACCTTCTCCATATCAGCAATAAGGCTGTTTCACTTTCTTAATAGTCATGTGTTCACTGGAGTAGCACTTTAAATTTCCTTCAAGAACTTTTAATTTGCATCTACAACTTGGCTGATTGTTTGGCACAAGAAGCCTAGCTTTTGACCTATCTTGGCTTTCGTCATTCCTTCCTTACCAAGCTTAGTCATTTCCAGCTTTTGACTTAAACTGAGTTCCTGTCACTCGAACACTTACAGACAATTGTAGGGCTGTTAATTGGCATACTTTTAATACTGTTGAGTAGCAGGGAATAGGGAGACCTGAGGGGAATGAGAGAGCTGGGGAATGGCCAGTTGGTGGAGCAGTCAGCACACACACAGATATGCCTGTATTTTCTTCTTTGATTGATACCCTGGGGCCTGTCTGGATTCATTGGCTTTTTGGCTTTTTCTAAACAAGTTAGTAAGGGGGGAATTCAAAGTAGCCAATCCCTGGTTCAAATAAAACTATTTCCATCACAATCCAACTGTCTTAGCCCATTTTGCGTTGCGGTAACAGAATATCTGATACAAGGAATATCTCTTACAGAATCTCTCTTACAAGAAAAGAGGTTTATTTAGCTCATGGTTCCAGTTCAAGATTGGACAGCCACATGTGGTGACTTCTGATAAGGACCTTGTGCTGTGTCAAAACATGGTGGAGAAAAAGAACAGGAACAGTCCCCAAAGGCGATGGGCAACCCTGCTCTGTGGCGTTGCTAAGCTTAGCCTATGACTCCACTCTAATGGGCTGGAGCTGCACACTGTTGTCTACAGCTTTTCCACATGGACATTGCATGCTGCTAGTGGCTACAGAATTCTGGAGTCTTGAGGCTTGCTCTAGCTCTGACTCCCCATCTCCACTCAGCATTGCCCTAGTAGGGGCTCTCAGCAGTGACTTCACTCCTGCAACAACCGTCCACCTGTGTCCTCAGCCTTTCTGGTACATCCTCTAAGATCTATCCGAAAGGTGGAGCCCACTATGCTGCTACAGCTCTTACATTCGGCACACCTGCAGGATTGGCGCCTCATAGATAGTGTCAAGGCTTACTGCTTGCACCTTCCAGAGCTATGGCATAAGCCATATCTGGGCCCACTTGAGCCACAGTGTGCTGCCACCAAGCTTTACAGCTTGTACTTTTCAGAAGCACCTAACCCACAGCTGGGGCCAAGGAGCCCTGCACCAGAATGCGGGGGGCAGAGTTCAGAGGTGGCCCTGGGCAGCAAGCCCATCGAGTAGGCTTTTTAGGGTAATTGTCAAGAAACATTCTGCCTTCCTACAGCTTTGGGTCTGTGATGGGAGGGTCCTTTCTATTCATGCTAATCTGTTTAACAGTGAGTCACTCAGCCACATCCTCATTCTGTTCTCATCAACATGCTTTTTATCCTGCATGTGGCCAGGCTGCACTTCCTTCAGGATTTAAGTTTTATCTTTGTCATCCCTTTGCTTCCAAATCTCACTGCAAGTGGCCAGAAGTGACCATGCAGCAGCACCTTGAACACTTTGCTGCTTAGAAATTTCTTTCACCAGATATCCTAGTTCAGCACTCTCAAGCTCAGCCTATCACAGCACCCTATGGCATAGATACAATGCAGTCAAGTTTGCAACTGTATAACGAGGATGGCCTTTACTTTAGTTTCCAGTACTTTGCCCCTCATTTCCATCTCAGACCTTGTCAGAATGGTCTTTACTGTCCATATTTCTTTTTTATTTTTTTCCTTTTTTTTTTTTTTTTTTTTTTTTTTTTGAGAGGGAGTCTCGCTCTGTCTCCCAGGCTGGAATGCAGTAACACGATCTTGGCTCACTGCAACCTCTGCCTCCTGGGTTAGAGTGATTCTCCTGCCTCAGCTTCCCAAGTAGCTGGGATTACAGGCACACGCCACCACGCATGGCTAATTCTTTTTGTATTTTTAGTAGAGAAGGGGTTTCACCATGTTGGCCAGGTCAAACTCCTGACCTCAAATGATCTGCCTGCCTTGGCCTCCCAAAGTGCTGGGATTACAGGCATGAGCCACCGTGCCCCGCCTACCATCCATATTTCTATCAACATTCTGGTCACAACCACTTAAGTAATCTCTTAAAAGCTCTAGACTTTCTCTTGTCTTCACTTCTTCTAAGCCTCACCAGAATCACCCATAATGCTTTGCTCAAGGTAATCTAGGCTTTTTCTAGCCTGTTCCTCCAAATACTTCCAGCCTTTGCCAATTACCTAGTTCCAAAGTTGCTTCCACATTTCCAGTTATCTGTATGGCAACAACCCCACTTCTCTGTATCAATTTTCTATCTTAGTCCTTTTTATGTGGCTATAACTACATACCTGAGACTCAGTAATTTACAAAGAAAACAAATCTATTTCTTACAGTTCTGGAAGTTGGAAAGTCCAAGGTCAATGGACCGCACCTGGCTGGCTTCTGAAGTCCTCATGCTGTGTTGTAACATGGAAGAAAGCATCACAGGGCAAGAGAGAGGCACGTTGAGAGCCAAACTGGCTTTTTTTTTTTTCTTTTTTGAGACACAGTCTTGCTCTGTCACTCAGGCTGGAGTGCAGTGGCGCGATCTCAGTTTACTGCAAGCCCCGCCTCCTGGGTTCACGCCATTCTCCTGCCTCAGCCTCCCAAGTAGCCAGGACTACAGGCGCCCACCACCACGCCCAGCTAATTTTTTTGTACTTTTAGTAGAGACGGGGTTTCACCGTGTTAGCCAGGATGGTTTCGATCTCCTGACCTCGTGATCCGCCCGTCTCAGCCTCCCAAAGTGCTGGGATTACAGGCATGAGCCACCGCACCTGGCTTTTTTTGTTTTTTGTTTTTTTGAGACAGAGTTTCACTCTTGTTGCCCAAGCTGGAGTGCAATGGTGCAATCTTGGCTCACCACAACCTCCGTCTACTGGGTTCAAGTGATTCTCCTGCCTTAGCCTCCTGCATAGCTGAGATTACAGGCATGTGCCACCACGCCCGGCTAATTTTGTATTTTTAGTAGAGACGGGGTTTCTCCATGTTGGTCAGGCTGGTCTTGAACTCCCGGAGATCTACCCGCCTTGGCCTCCCAAAGTGCTGGGATTACAGGGGTGAGCCACTGCGCCTGGCCCAAACTGACTTTTATAACAGACTCACTGTTATGATAACCCATTAATCCATTCACGAGGGCAGAGCCCTCATGACTCGATCACCTCTTAAAGACCCCACCTCTTAATACTGTTACAGTGGGGATTAAGTTTCAACGTGAGTTTTGGAGGGGGCTAACATTCAAACCACTACACCAACCCAGAAAGAATATGCTGACACCATGAGATTGACACACTAGGGCTAAAGGTTTTGAACTGGTAGGATGGCAGCGGGGAAGATGAGCAGCTAGTGTCAGCAATTCAGCCTTTCCTACTACACACCAATAAACAGGCCTCTGTCTTGACAGCCTCAAGGTACAGATTTAATATTATATGCCCCATAACCCCAAACTACCACATCTTTAATTTGGAACATCCACAAAATGGTTTTGCCTCCTAACTGGAGAATTTGAATTTCAATGATAAAAGTTATAGGATAAGTATTCAATGGGAAAAACAGGATGGAACTAAGATTTTATTTTACAATGAATAGAGGATAGAAGACAACCGGGATGGGCCAATAGGCTTTAGACTGTGGTACCAGTTAGGAGGCAACAATGAGAATGTAAGCTAATGCTGCGGAAACAGGAATATACAGAATGACTGGATATATAGCTTACATTGGATCAAATCAAAGATGCCTTTCATTTATGTGTTGGGAATACATAAAATAACGCATTATTAAAAATCTGCTGCCAATTATTGATAAAATGCAAAAACAAAAAGAGATGTCCACAGCAAAACCGAAATTGCATTCTAGAACTTACCTTCTTATAATATCTAAAGAAATAAAGCAAACGAAAAAATGTAAAAATTCAACAAGAAAAAAAAAGCCAGCATAAATTGAAGCAAAAAGAAACTGACTATGAGTAGACAGAAAGTTTTGCTTCCAATTTTGGTGGATTAGCTCATACAACCCTCCCAGCAGATAACATTTAAAACTCTGGGCAAAATATAAACAGAACACTATCTGGAGGCCCTGGGGAGCAACTGAAAGCAGATATAAACTGAAGCTGGCACTTGGAAAAATGAAATCTTACTCAGTGAGTTTCTTGTGATTTGGCTTTTTGCCTGAGGGCAGGCCCCAGCTGGAATCATGCTAAGTGGCTAGAATTTGGATATAAATGCAGGCTCTTACCAGTTTTAGGAATTGGAAAACAGAGTTCAGGCCTCCCACGGTGGCCAGAAGGCACAGAGGGAAAACCTAAAAAGAAGAGAGGCATAAAGGGGGGTCTCCAATATCTGTGAGTAAACTTGGCCCAAATCTCTGGCCAACTCCTGAACTATAGATGTGCAGAGAAGACACCAAGCTGCCCCTCTAGGGGGAAAATAATAAAACAAAGATTTCCCACCTCCAGGAGGACAAAGTTTAGAGTTTGAATACAGTCAAGTAAACTGGCTGCTAAAACAAACAAATCTTCAGAACATAATAGAATCCATAGTTTCTATAATGTAAAATTATATAAATTTACTATATCCAGAATAAATTTCAAAATTATGAGACAGAAAAAAAACCTCAGGAAACTGTGATTCACATTCAAGAAAAAAGGTCATCAATAAAGACCAACCCCTTACTTCTTATGGTGTAATGTTGAAAAAAAAGTTTTAAAACCCAAACCCTGAGATAAGCTAGATGTTGGAATTAGCAGATAAAAAGTTTAAAGCAGCCAAGTGCAGTGGCTCATGCCTGTAATCCCAGCATTTGGGGAGGCTGAGTGAGGCAGGAGGATCACTTGATGCTAGGAGTTTGAGACCAGCCTGGGCATGATAGTGAGATGCCATCTCTACAAAAAATAATTTTAAAAATTAGCCAGGCATAGTGGCATGCCTGTGGTCCTAGCTGCTCATGAGGCTGAGGTGGGAAGATTACTTGAGCCCTGGGGTTTGAGGTTGCAATGAGCTATGATTGTAACACTGCACTCCAGCCTGGGCAACACAGCAAGACCCTGTCCCAAAAAGAAAAAAAAATTAAGCATTTAAAAGTTCTTAAAACTGTAAAATAACAGTGTTTGAGAATGCAAAAGAAAACATATTTATACTGAGTGAACAGATAGGAAATCTCAGTGGAACAACAGGAGCTGTAGCAATGTATTACGTGTTTATGGTGTACGTAAAAGTACAATGTAGGGCAGCAATATAACAAAGGATAGGAGAGAAGAATTGGGAAAACACTGTTGTAAGGTCCATAAACTGCACATGAATCACTATAATAGTACTTAGAGGTAGGTTCTGATTAATCAAAGATGTATATTATAAACCTTATTAGTCTGCTTTGCATTGCTATCAAGGAATACCTGAGACTAGATAATTTATAAAGAAAAGAGGCTCATTTGGCTTATGGTTCTGCAGACTGTGCAGGCATGGCACCAGCATCTGCTCGGCTTCAAGAAGTTTTTTTTTTTCTTTTTAAATTATACTTTAAGTTCTGGGATACATGTGCAGAACATGTGCCAGGTGGTTTGGTGCACCCATCAACCCATCATCTAGGTTTTAAGCCCCATACGCATTAGGTATTTCTCCTAATGCTATCCCTCCCCTTGCCCCCCACCCCATGACAGGCCCTAGTGTATGATGTTCCCCTCCCTATGTCCATGTATTCTCATTGTTCAACTCCCACTATGAATGAGAACATGTGGTGTTAGGTTTTCTGTTCCTGTGTTAGTTTGCTGAGAATCATGGTTTCCAACTTCATCCATGTCCCTGCAAAAGACATGAATTCATTCTTTTTTATGGCTGCATAGTACTCCATGGTGTATATGTGCCACATTTTCTTTATCCAGTCTATCATTGATGGGCATTTAGATTAGTTCCAAGTCTTTGCTATTGCAAATAGTGCTGCAATAAACATATGTGTGCATGTGTCTTTATAATGATTTATAATCCTTTGGGTATATACCCATTAATGGGATTGCTGAGTCAAATGGTATTTCTGGTTCTAGATCCTTGAGAAATTGCCACACTGTCTTCCACAATAGCTGAACTAATTTACACTCCCACCAACAGGGAAAAGTGTTCCTATTTCTCCACGTCCTCTCCAGCATCTATTGTTTCCTGACTTTTTAATGATTGCCATTCTAACTGGCATGAGATGGTATCTCAATGTGGTTTTGATTTGCATTTCTCTAATGACCAGAGATGTTGAGCTTTTTTCATGTTTGTTGGCTGCATAAATGTCTTCTTTTGAGAAGTGTCTGTTCATATCCTTCACCCACTTTTTGATGGGGTTGGTTTTTTTTGTAAATTTGTTTAAGTTCCTTGTAGATTCTGGATATTAGGCCTTTGTCAGATGGATAGATTGCAAAATTGTTCTCCCATTCTGTAGGCTGCCTATTCACTCTGATGATAGTTTCTTTTGCTGTGCAGAAGCTCTTTAGTTTAATTAGATTCCATTTGTCAATTTTGGCTGTTGTTGCAATTGCATTTGGTGTTTTAGTCATGAAGTCTTTGCCCATGCCTATGTCCTGAATGGTATTGCCTAAGTTTTCTTTCAAGAAGTTTTTCACTGGTGGTGGAAGGTGAACAGGGAGCAAGCACATCACGCGGTGAGAGAGGGAGCAAGGCAGAGGGGGAGGTGCCTGTCTCCTTTAAATACCAGTTCCTGTGTGAACTAACAGAGCAAGAACTCACTCATCACCGTGGGGAGGGCACTAAGCTATTCATGAGGAATCTACCCCAATGACACAAATACCTCCCACTGGGTCCAACCTCCAACACTGGGGATCACATTTCTTTCCTTTTTTAAATAGAGACAGGGTCTCGCTAATGTTGCCTAAGCTGGTCCTTGGACTCCTGGCCTCAAGTGATCCTCCTGCCTCAGCCTCCCAAGTGCTGGGATTACAGGCGTGAGCCACCATGCCTGGCCTGGGGATCACATTTCAACATGAGATTTGGAAGAGACAAATATCCAAACCATATCACCCTAGAACAAGCACCAAAAAGTTTGATAATAAATAAAAAGTCAATAGAAGTAAAATGGAATACAAAACACTCAGTCTTTCCAAATTTCATGGAAGTATGCAAACTCTCCAGGAGTGGATAGTGAAGGAAGGAGAGGAACATAATGCACACAAGGCAGAGATCCCACTGTGGAAGAAAACATCACTTCAGATACAAAATTATTTTACAGAATCTCTCTATAAGAACGTGAACTCAGTAAAACAAGAGTTGAATGGCAGATCATAAACCAACAAAATAAGATGGAAAATAATATTGTAGACCTAAAGAAACAACATTAGAGATCCAGTAAATAAATTAGAATCAGCTAAGAATAGGATAGACCTTGGTGAAAATCAAATTAGAGGTATAGATAAAAGATCTAAGATGATCACTGTGAATACAGAGGAAAAAGACAAAGAGAATGAAGTGCAGAGAGAGAATTTCATAGAGAGGAAAGACAACGACCATCCAACATAAGGACAATCTGCTTCCCTGAAGTTAACAGTCTGGAAAATGAAAGCTGTGTTCAAAGATCTATGTCACTAAACATTCTTGGGATAAAGAGAGAACTGAGTTTGCAGATTGAAAATATACTATGATCTGAAAAACAGATGCAGAAGGTACAACACTGAGATATATACCAGTTATGCCACTGACATTCAGGGACGGGCTGGGCGCAGTGGCATACGCCTGTAATCCCAGCTCTTTGGGACTGTGTATAGACAAGAGGATCACTTGAGCCCAGGAGTTTGAGATCAGCCTGGCAACATAGCTAGACCCTGTCTCTACAATTTTTTTTAAAGTTAGCCAGGCATGATGGTGTGTGCCTATGGCCCCAGTTACTTGGGAGGCTGAGGCCAGAGGATCACTTGAGCCTAAAGTGCTGGAATTGCTCAAGAGGATGAGACTGCAGTGAGCTATGACTGTGCCACTGCACTCAAGCCTGGGCAACAGAGTGAGTGAGACCTTGTCAGAAATCAGAAAGAGGAGAAGAGAGGAGAGGAGAGGGAAGGGAGGGAGGGAAGCAGGGAGTTCCAGGATAAATGACTCTTAGGGCAATCAGCCAGAGAAAGCAAATCATTCATAAGAGAGAAAAAGAAGCAGGCCTCAGACTTTTCCACAAACTCAGTACCAGAGGGCAATGGACCAAAGTCTACAACATACTGAAGGGGGAAGATGTGACCTGTGGACATTATATCCAAGATATAGAGCCAGGATGTATTCATCATTTTCTTGAGTGTCATTTAAATGTCTATTCTTCTGATATACTCAAGGAAAAGTAAATTCTTACAGAGAACAGCATCTATATAAACCCATTTTTACAAATGTATTTCTTTCTGCCTAGCTCCTTTCCATATATGCACCATGGAGAGATGCCAGGAACCCTGTGGACAGTAGTTATTTCCGGGTAGTGGGCTTGGTTAGATTGTTTACTTCAATCTCTTCCTCGTCGCATTGGCACCTGCCTCACGCGGCTGTGGGGGATATAGAGGCGACGCAGGAACATGCTTTGCACGGCGCCTGGCACGGGAGGCTTTGAAAACTAGAACACTGGAGTCTGCTATAAGCAAGCTTGGTTAGTGGAACCAGGCTGAAACCTGGGAATCTGTCATTTTTCAGCTTGCTAGTGAGACGGATCTGAGAATCATAGAAGGTGCTCCATGAATATCTGCTGCTCTGAATTAAGCTGAAACCAGACAGCGACAACCTCTAATGTTGTTTCTTTAGGTCTACAATATTATTTTCCATCTTATTTTGTTGGTTTATGATCTGCCATTCAACTCTTGTTTTACTGAGTTCACGTTCTTATAGAGAGATTCTGTAAAATAATTTTGAGCAAACCATTCACAGGCAGTCACTCCTGAAGCACCAGAGCACTGAGGGGAAATCTTATTTAAGGCGAGGAAAATGACCAAAGGCTGGGAAGGGGGAGGATCCAATTGCATGAGCCATACATTGATCCTTAAAGAACTGGATCCTGCCTCTCTCCAAAGCTACCCAACAGGCCGACAACCCTGGGTGTCGTATGGAGGAGGCTGGGATAAAGACTGTTCACACGAGGAAACGTGTTCTGTCTCAAGGTTATGTCTAATAACCTGGGTTTGCATGTCTAACATAACTGGAAATTACTCAGCTATTTGCCCTTTTCTGTTAAGATTTTTCCCATCATTAAAGAAAAAAAAAAAATTGAAAATACAGAAGCAGCAGAAAGAACAAAATCACGCCCGGGGACATCTCACTTAAGGACAACCTGAGTATTTTGGAATATTTTCCAATCCGCTACAGATATTCCATACACATCTTCTGCGTTATTATTAACTCTTCATGGATATCCTTGTTCCTGGCTATAGATTTTAATCACGTGGCTATATTGTGACTCATTTAGCCTTTTCCTATTCTTAGGCATTGACGTTATTCTTATAAATAATGATACCATGGCTAGCTTTGTAGATAATGTATTTTCTATATTTGAAAGTATTTCCTCAGGAAAGATTCAAAGAAGAGGAATTACCATGCCAAAAGATATTGAAATCTTCAGCTATATACTTTAAAAATACTTACCTTGATTTCCAACACAATATCTAAGGTTCAAGTCATTATTTATGCTGAGATTCTTCAAAAACACATTGTAATCTACTGCAGTATCGTTGTGGATGTTGTAGTGTTTCAAAAACCTAAAATACAAATGTTCTTTAGCAATGAGAAATTATGAATCTAAAATGAAGCAAGTGTATTACTAAGGTATCCTTTACACTCGGGCTGGCATTAATTTTAATGTCTGTTTCTAGCTACAGACGGAATTGAAAAGTAAACCCCAGAAAATGTTACTGTCAGATTTTTTTTTTTTAATGCATCCACTTCGAGATCACTTCTTTAGCCTACAGATGGATGCATCGAGATTACAGTGAGACAGCAAACGTTGCTGGACCTGTTGAGAAATGGCCAGACCTAGACAGCAGCTAAGGAGTTTTTCCTTGCTCTGGCGGGAGGGGAGCTGGGGCGCAGTTTGCACGGCACCCGCCTCTCCACTCCAACAGCAGAAGCAGGTCCCACTTGCCTTTAATAATTGGAGGGAAATGAGTCAGCCAGCACAAAATTTCCATAAGCAGGGGAATGGAGAGCTGGGTGGAGGAGCCAGCAGAGATGATCTCGACTGAGTATATCCTTTCTCTAGAGAGAAACTGAGGCCCACAGATGGCATATGGTTTCAAAACAGGGGGTGGTAGAGGGGGCAAAGTTTCTCTTGAAGCATTCTGGGATTTTTATATGTAACATATAAAATAAGACTTTTTAAAACAACGAACCACTGTCTATCCCTGAAATACACTGATGTACAGATATATATATATATGTATGTATGTTTGTTTTTGTTTTGTTTTAGACAGAATCTCGCTCTGTTGCCCAGGCTAGAGTGTGGTGCTGCAATCTCAGCTCACTGTAACCTCCACCTCCCTGTTCAAGTGATTCTCATGCCTCAGACTCCTGAGTAGCTGGGATTACAGCCATGCACCACCACGCATGGCTAATTTTTGTATTTTTAGTAGAGATGGGGTTTTGCCATGTTGGCCAGGCTGGTCTCAAACCCCTGGCCTCAAGTGATCTGCTCACCTCAGCTTCCCAAAGTGCTAGAATTATAGGCATGAGCCACTGTGCCCAGCCGAGATAAACTTTTTTTAAAGTTAAGATAAATAGGATGTTTGAATTTTTAAAATAAATTTTCTATTATTCAAGTCTTCCACCTGATAAATGGTTTTCTAGATCATTTCTGTGTTATTACATTTCTAAAAATTGATGGGTTTTAAGTGTTTGGTTATATTATCTCCATATGTGTTGATTTCTATAATTATCTGATCTCATACTGCTTGCTAAAAATTTAGTAATTATCACTTAAAGTATTTGTTATTTTTCTGTTTTCCAAATTTAACAAAGAGTAATGTCATGTAGTTATTTCAATGCATACCTTTCTTTTCCACTTTGATGACTCTTGCCTATTGTTTTAATAAGATAAATGATCTCTAGGTGTGATAGCTGCCAGATGTTAGCAGTGAAACTCCCTAAACAGCTTCATCTTTCATCCATGGTCTCCGTCTTGTGAAAATGAGGTAGTAAGTTTGAGAAACCAGAAGGCCTAATTGAGGGGAGAAGGGTATGACTCCAATCAGCTCATAAACCTCTCCAGCGTCACCACCTGTAACTGGGTTTCATTCATCTGCTCAGGCAACAGGCTGAACTGTAGTGATTTGTTTGCTGGTTTTACAAGGCTGCTCATAAATGATTTCACCTATTTCAAACACACTGGCCTCCAGGGCAGTGGAGAGTAGGCTGGAGGGAGATGGGAAACACAAAACTCAATGGGTTTGGGGATATCCTGATTAAATAGAGGGCTTGGTGGTAACTGTATCTCTGACCTCTTGTTTTATGTAGGTTGGACAGTAGTCTGCTGCCTAAATGGAACAGGTCATCACAGGGTAAAGGGCATTCATGGAGTCTTTATGATGATGAGATGGTCACTGTGAAATCAGCCCTACTATGTGCAAGCGTGTCACAGGCATGTCATGTACATTACGTTGAGTCTTCACCCCAGCCCTGAGAGGTGGCCTGCTCAGTCCCCATTTTTTTTTTTTTTAGATTGGGTCTCACTCTGTCGCCAGCCTGGAGTGCAGTGGTGCGATCTCAGCTCACTGCAACCTCTGCCTCCCAGGTTCAAGCGATTCTCCTGCCTCAGCCTCCCGAGTAACTGGGACTACAGGTGTGCACCACCACGCCTGGCTAATTTTTGTACTTTTAGTAGAGACAGGGTTTCACCATGTTGGCCAGGATGGTCTCAATCTCTTGACCTCGTGATCCACCTGCCTCAGCATCCCAAAGTGCACGGATTATAAGCGTGAGCCACCGCACCCGGCCAGTCCCCATTTCTTTAAGAGAACAACTGAGTCGACAAGGCCCAGGAGCTACCCTGAGGCCCTAGAACAAGGGAGGAGAGAGCACAAACTTCACCTCCAGCAGCCTGACTTCAAAGCCTGGGCCATTTGTACCACACCAAGAGCCGAATGTTGAAATTAAATAGAAAGCTGTTAGATAAAAGAAAGGATTCAAAAATGCATTGTTTCCTGCTCAAAAATAAAAAAGACAAAGTTAATACTGAAGCAGCTTCTCCAGGAAAGAGTATATTCTTGAGCTTCAATAAGAAAAGCATTAAAGCAATTGAAGAAATGGTCTACTTTTGATCTTCTGTGTTTCTGAGTCTAAAGGAAAGCAATTCTATTATGTTCAGTTTCTCAAGCCTTATCATGAAAATAGCATTGTTTCTGAGGCTTAAAAAAATCTCAAATAAAAATTTGTGGAGTTCTTTATTATTCAATACTTATGAGATGGGGAAACAGACAGTAACATTTTTTATAGATTTACTAGGTTGGAGACTGCAGTGCCAAACACAAGGTTTATTGTCAAATAAAACACTGTTTTGTTTTTTGATTGCCTGTTTTAGAAGAGCGCTGCCTCTGTTCTATAATTGCGTGCACAAAATTATTTAATTTGTTTTGTTTGGATCTTATTCTGGACACTTTCCCAGCCGGAAAAGATGTAAAAATTAAAACATCTATTATATCTTTTATATTCTGAGGTGGGTTATAAAGAGAAAAAAAAGAAAAAGACATTCAAAAGAGTAGGAGATGCCATTTTTTAAAGTCTGCCTGCTTTTCAGGCCCTGCAGCACCAGTAACATGTCACATGCCCTCTAGACTTCCTTGCCTCAGGGGCAAATTCTTCCACTCTGCTTCTAGCAGCAGCCACACTGTCTGTATGAGATACAAGGAGCTACCGGGACCCATTTTCATAGCAACTTAGAACACCAGTGCAATGCGAAAAGCTTGGGCTCCGGGTGAAATGAGGCTTGGTGCTTTTGTTAATGGTCTGGTGGGTATTTAGAAAAGTGTTTGGGAAAAGGCACGAAGAGGGAAAGGACCTCTTGGCTGGGTACTGTAGAAATTAAGCTAGACATGGGCCCATCTTCCAGTGGCTTTCACTCAAAACTCAAATAGCCACAGAAGCCAAACATTTGGCTTCTTCTGAATGATCTGGAGTTTATAGACGGCTCAAACAAATGCCCGTGCAGGCTTGTGTGTGCTGCCCTTGGAGTCGGGAGCAGGTGGTGGTGGCGTTCAAACGCCATGAAGCAGCTAAATGTTCTGCTGTTCATCATCCTTCTGCCCCACACCCCTGCACCTCAGCAACAACAGTCCTCAAAGGAAAATTAAGTCTCCGTTATTGTATCAGGATGCAGAGCCAACGGGGAGCACAGCAACAACGCGTGAATCCTGAAATTTGTCATTCTTCTCCTAACCCCAGGCTTTGAGTAAAAATCAACAGTGAACTAGAAATACGTGGGATGGGGGGCGGGCACAGTGCCAAGTGGGGAAAGAGACAATTGGTGATGGATTACTCCAATAACCTGGATGTGTTCAAAGCTGTGGGCCAGAGGACGGACCCGAGGGTGCTTCAGGAATGAGAACCATTAGCTCTCGTTTTTGAGAATGCATGGGGAGCTTTAGGAACATGAGAGAATGTCCAGTGAGTGTCTCTTTGAGAAATAAGGTGTGTGTGTGAGGTTGGGGGGGGGGGACGAGAGATGGATGGAGCCAATGAAACCAACAGGTCTCATTTTGAAATTGGTTAAAAGTTCTACTGAGCAATCTCTCACCGTGCCCTCATTTGCTTACTTTTCGTATTCCTCGTCTCTTAACTTCAAACAGAAGGTCTCCAGAACTCTTCTTAGCTCCTGCGGTTGAACCAGTCCAGTCTTGTCAACATCAATGAGCTTAAAGGCTTTCAGAACAGTCTTAATGTTTTTGAAAACCTATGTATAAAAAGTGATTCAGGAAAAGTCAAAAGATCTAGTGTTAGAAACCAAATGGTAATAAAAATGTGAAAGGTTTTTTTAATACTTTTTATAAAATAAAATGTTTTCAAAGACTCACAGCGGTGGGCACTGCAAAAATGACATGTCTACGGAAAAAAGAACACTTTGTATTTATTGAATGTTTTCAAGGCAATTTGCTCTGTAAATGGTCTTAGTAATTTAAAAAAAAAAATCTCTTTCTGATGTAAAGCAATAAGTCTCATACACAATTCATTCCCTTTTAAGGCCGTATGAAAAAATCTTTTTTGTTAATTGATACTTAAAAACTACAGTTCTGGCATGGCTGGACTTGTACAATTTTTATTTTTCACAGCCATATGCAAACTATTTTTACTAGGAGCTGGAAAATATGACTGTATATTTCAACCCCTCTAAATTTTTTAAAGATATCACAGAAAAGTTTTGTAGAGACTTCTCCAAACTCAGCAAATGGTATTTAGTGGGTACACAGATGCACATGGCATTAGGATAGACCCTGTGGATCTGCAGGGAACATCCAGTTGTGCTCTTGGCCTTAAACTACTTATATTCAAAGGAAAGCAGCACAGAGCTGTGTGATGGAAGCCTTTCAACCCCTCTGAAGGAGGTACCATTTCCCCAACGTTAGATATGGAAACTGACTGCTCCCTGCTCACACTCCACATCTTGTTATTACCAAGGACTGCTGACTCTACACAATCCAGCCCCACGCTGCAGCCGCCCACCCCCCATCTTTCCAGCTCACTCCCTTGGGCGCCCAGAGCTCACAGCCTTGACCCACTGGGCCCTCCCCTGGGCTCCTGCCTCCCTCCACACTCCTCCACGCCTCTCAGCCTCACTTCCTTCCTAACCCTCCCATCAACACCTTCGCCGCTTGGCATATATGCTTGACTCCCTCCTCCCCTCTGCCCCCTCCTACTCTCTTGGTGAGACCCTAACCAGGGGTAAACCCAACTCGCCACCTCTTCCAGACCCATCCAAATGGCCTGACATGGCTGGAGAGAAACACACCACGAGCACCTCCCTGGCTCTCCTAACTTGAGACCATTAACTCCACCAGAACGAGTGCTGCGTGGTAATCCCACCAGGACGGGTGCTGTGTGGTAATCCACCCCATACATCATCACTCTCACACACACATCCACAGATACATGCACACACACCATCACTCACACACACACATATTCATACACACACATACACCTGTGCATATACTCACATACACACCATCACTCACACACATATATTCACACAGATACTCACATGCACACACACCATCACACACATATATTCATACACATACATGCCTGTGCACATACTCACACACACCATCACTCATACACATATATTCACACACACATATGCACTGATACATCTTTACAGTATCACTCATACATATATTATACACACACACACCTGTGCATATACTCACACACCATCACTCACACATATTCCGCACACACACAGATACAGGCACACACATCACTCACACACACATATATTCATACACACACACACACCTGTGCATATACTCACACACACTCACACCATCACTCACACACATATATTCGCACATATATTCACACACACATGCACATTCACACGCATACACCTGCATATACTCACATATTCACACCATCACTCACACAAATATATTCACACACACTCATACATGCAGATACTCACATGCGTACACACCATCGCTCACACACACATATATTCACACACCTGTGCATATATTCACACTCACACCATCACTCACACACATATATCACATACACCTGCATATACTCTCTCACATACACACACAGGCATATACTGATGCACTCACACAAAATCACTCACACACATATATCACACACACCTGCATATACTCTCTCACACACACACATGCATATACTGATGCACTCACACCATCACTCACACACATATATTCACTCACACATGCACATATACACACACACCTGCATATACTCACACTCACACCATCACTCACACACATATATTCACACACACCTGCATATACTCACACACTCACACCACCAATCACATACACATATATTCACACACATGCATGTACTCATATGCACACACCTGCTGTATACTCACACACACATCACTCACACACACATTCACACACATATGCATATAATCACACACATAATCACACACATACATACACCATCACACACACATATACTCACACACACACCACCATTCTCATATATTCACACACACCTGTGCATATGCTCACATGCACACACACTTGTACATATAATCACACACACACCATCATTCACACAGTTACACACACACATGTTCTCTTGCACATATACTCACACTTGCATATACTGTCATACACACCATCACTCACACACACACACACACTCCATCCACACAGCCATTCCCACCTTCTACACTCTCCTAACCTCCAACTTCTCCTCCCGCCTCCTGCTTTACTGACAACCTTACCTCTTATTTAACAGAGAAAACAGAAACAACTAAAGGACAGCATTCCCATTCCCCGCACCCACTTGCAGCTGGCCTGCTCCATCCCCAGATGAGACAGGTGCCTCCTGTCCTGTTGTAAGGGATCAAGGGATGAACCTCCGTGATCCTACCTATGGCCAGGCAGGGCCACGTGACGCACATGACCCTGACCCTGTCCCCAGGCGAGGAAGTGCTCCTGCCTGTCGTACTCCCTCTCAGGTCACCCCATGAAGATGAGCGGTTTCACAAACAGAACCTCCCTCCTTGCCTCACCTCTTCCTCCAGTCACCCATTCCCTTGTACTAAAATCCCCTCAAGATTATCTCCAATGTATCCCCCTCTCTTAAAACCTCTCCAGTCACTTTTGTCCACACTACTGCACAAACACTGTTCTTGTCAGTGTGATCAAAGACTTCCACCTTGTCAAACCCAAGGGCCACTTCTCAGTCCTCATCTTGCTGTCCCAGCAGCCGCCTGTGTCAAACAGCTGCTTGGCCCTTCTTCCTTGAGGCACTTTTGCTGCTTAGCTTCTAGAGCCAATGCTCTCTCTCCTTCTCCTCCAGCCTTCTTGGATTCTCCTTCTCAGTCTCCCTTGCTAGCTCCTTCTGCTCTTCCCATCTCCAAGCCTGCAGCATTTTAGTACTCAGTCCTCAGCCCTCTCTGCTTCTCTGACCACAATAACTTCTTGATGGTTCACTCCTGTGGCTTCAATGTCCCACTGATGACTCCCACGTGTCTGTCTTGAGCCCTGGACTCTTCTCAGAGCCCAGCTTAGAATATCCAACTGCCCATTTGATGTCCACCTTGAGACTCTAACAGACATCCCAGGTTTACCAAACCCAAGCTGCTCTACCCGCACTCTCCTATCCCAATAAATGGCAAATCCATTCTACTGGGTTCCTTTTTGCTCACATCCCATATCCAGTCTACCAGGAGAGCCCATCAGCCCCTCCCTCCAGACCATTTCCAGAATTCAATCATGTCTTACCACCCCCAGCCTGCTTCCCCCCACACCCCAGGCTAGTGCAAGCCTCCTGCTTGGTCCTCCAGCCTCCACACTTGACTCCACGAAGCAGCCAAGGAGTTTATATTTAAATGTGAGTCTGAGCATACCCTCCATGGCCAAAGCCCCCCAGGGATCCCACTCCACTCGCTGTGACCCACCAGGCCACACTCGACTGGCTCCTGGCCACCCTCTGGCTGTGTCTCCCTCCACCTGTCCCCCGCCTGCTGCTTTCTGGCCGCACCAGACTCTGCTGCTCCCCATGACTGCTTGGCCCCTCCTGCCTCAAGGCGCTGGCGCTTGCTGCTCCTTGTGCCTGGAACATTCTTCCCGGATACTCACTGGCTCACTCCCTGGCTTCATTCAGATCTTGGCCCAGAAAGGCCCTCCCTAATCACCATGCAAATTAGGACTCCTCACCCCCAATCCTCTTATCTTTTCTCCAAACCCCTCTTCAACTGGCATCACCTCCTTTTGTCTTTATGGTCCGTCTCCCCCTCTGAGAGCAAGGGTTGTTCATGTCCCCAGCTCTAGGACAGCACCTGGCACAGTGTGGACACTCAGTGAGTATCTGTCGGAATGAATGAATCTGTCTCCTCTTCACCTGCCTGGAAAAGAGCCACGCTCTGCGGAAGCCTTGTGTTATGTCTGCAACTGCCTCCTCAGTCGACTGGCCCAAGCATTCAGGACCAATCCTGAGTGCAGTCATGACGACATTCAATGTCATGATTACAACAACATGATCTTCGCACAAACACGAACTGAACGGATGTCTGTTATGTGCAGAGCCTCGTGCTTAACTCTATACCAGCCTCCTGACTAGAGAACAGCTTACAACCAAAGAACATTGGCTAACATGGCCTCAGTATCCAAAACCGGGAATACTGAGTGCAGCCTAGAGGGAAAGGCACCGGCAGTTGAGAGGGAAAGGCACCGGCAGAAGCAAAACCAGCTCTGGTGCCTCTGTCCTCCACTCCACTGCTCTGCCTAAAAGAGGGAGCCTCAGCCACTGACAGCTCCTGCTCTCATGGTCAGATAAAAATCTCAGCACTTTGTCTGCTGCCAAAGCCAGATTCACCTCCTTTGGTAAAATGGAGGACATGAGGCGATGCGCTTTTTTAAAACCCCAGAGCAACCCATATGGATCTCCAGCGTGAGCACCGGGAAGCGGCAACCTGGCAGCGAGCTCACACCCACCAGAGGGACGTCTCCAAGGATCTTATCATTTGTCAGACTGAAGTTTGGCAAGGGCTGAAGAATTGAGCTGCAGATGGTAAGGCTTATCAAAGGCAACAAAGTTAGGGCCGTGGTGTCCAAGACTTGTCCCACACAGGGGAGGAGAGAAGAAAAAAGTAAGGAGGAGGAATAAAATGGCTAAGCTAAGGCCCCCGACAATAGTGACTGTGCGCCCCCGGCCCCGCCACCCGCCCAACCACGGTCTCCGGGCTCCAGCCATGAACGACTT